ACTCCTGCTAACCTAGCAGTTTGAAAACATGCAAACGTGAGTAGATAAACAGATCTCACTTCAGCGGTTTATTTATCGAGTAGCTCCATTTATTGTAGCCCCATTTCTGAAGGTTGGCTCTGTATCTCATGGTGCCAGAGCACAGTCTGTTCAGCGCCTTCCAAGTCGCCCAGTCCTCTGTGTGCCCAGGGGGGAGTCTCTCATTTGGTATCAGCCATTGGTTGAGGTTCTGGGTTTGAGCCTGCCACTTTTGGACTCTCACTTGCCGAGGTGTTCCAGCGAGTGTCTCTGTAGATCTTAGAAAATTATTTCTAGATTTAAGTCGTTCACGTGCTGGCTGATACCCAAACAGGGGATGAGCTGGAGATGTCTCTGCCTTGGTCCTTTCACTATTGGCTGCTACTTCCTGGCAGATGTCAGGTGGTGCAATACCGGCTAAGCAGTGTAATTTCTCCAGTGGTGTAGGGCGCAGACACCCCGTGATAATGCTTCATGTCTCATTAAGAGCCACATCCACTGTTTTAGTGTGGTGAGATGTGTTCCACACTGGGCATGCATACTCAGCAGCAGAGTAGCATAGCGCAAGGGCAGATGTCTTCACTGTATCTGGTTGTGATCCCCAGGTTGTGCCAGTCAGCTTTCGTATGATATTGTTTCTAGCACCCACTTTTTGCTTGATGTTCAGGCAGTGCTTCTTGTAGGTCAGAGCACGGTCCAGAGTGACTCCCAGGTATTTGGGTGCGCTGCAATACTTCAGCGGTAAAAGGCAAAGAGATGCTCCAAGCAATCTTGCTGGCCACATCACCAGATGGTGACAACGCAGACTCCTCGGCTTGCAAATAGAGAAAGCTCCTCCCAGAGTCAGAGATGAGCACCACTTCGAAAGCCGGAAATGAAAGGAGAAGCTTTTGCCTTTGTTCGTGTTTGTGTGTCTCATTGTATTATAACAAGGCATTGAAGGTTTGCCGGTACCTGTTTATACTGCAATCCACTATGAGTTCCCACAGGCAGAAGGGCAGAGTATAAATCAATAATAATAATAATAATAATAATAATAATAATTGTTGTTGTTGTTGTTCAGTTACAATGCAACCTGGTTTACAACCACTTCAAATATATTCTGTTAATACATCATTTTGGCACCTGGCGCATCTCCATTTCTGGAAATGCAAGGAAGCAAGTGTGCTGCATCTTGGATCAGCTTCTGGAAATATTTTTAGCCTCCTTGCTGTCCTGGCTTAGAAATGCTGGCTGAAGAGAGTTCTCCTCTCCTCCGAAGGAAGCCGGGAAGCGGAGGAAAGGAAATGGCCCATTTGGCCGCCTACGCCTTCCCTCGGAGCAGGCCGAGAAAGCCTTCAAAATGGCCTGTGGCCAAGATTCCAAGGATTTCGAAGTCCATCCAAAGGGGAGCTGCGTTTGTTGGCAAGGGCATCACAGCCAGGAATGCCTGGTTTCCTTTCTGAAAGCTTACAGGGAGCCGTATAAAACGCTCGCTTCCTCACCTCGGTGCTGCAGAGGGACAACTAGGATGGGATGCCAGGAGATCTAGATATATATATACCACAAAACATTCCAAAAATCTAAATAAAAAGCCCTCTAATGGACTTTGCAGAACAAAAATAGTTTATAACTCTTGACGGCTGGGGATGTGAATTCCTGCCCTTCCAAGATGTAGAAAAGCAGGCGCGGGATACGAAGGAACAATAGGCAGGAGAGAGGAAGAGAAGTGTGTATGTCTGTGTGGAGAGGTGTGTAGGAAAGGCCAAAAGCACGTGGAGAAGAAATAAATTAGAGATTGCACTGGGCTGGGTTTGAGACCATCAAAATACAGGCTTTTTGATTAGTTGACGGGTTTTCCATGTCAATGAAGAGAGATGCTCCAAACACAATCCAAGTGCAATGCGACTACAGGAGATACACAATGTTGGTGGCAAAGCCATTTGAAGACTTAACTACATAGTTTAATATTGTTCAAGTACTTGAGCACTCTGCCTACAACTCCATAATAATAATAATAATAATAATAATAATAATAATAATAATAATAATAATAATAATAATACAACAACTGGAAAAGCTGACACGATATGAAGATTGAAAGATCAAACTACAAAGACTCTGGCACAAGCCAGTCAAGGTGGTCCCAGTGGTGATTGGCACACTGGGTATAGTGCCTAAAGACCTTGGCCTGCACTTAAACACAATGGGCGCTGACAAAATTACCATCTGTCAGCTGCAAAAGGCCACCTTACTGGGATCTGCACGCATTATTCGCCGATACATCACACAGTCCTGGACACTTGAGAAGTGTCCGACGTGTGATCCAATACAACAGCCAGCAGAGTGTCTGCTGTGGACTCACCTTGTTGTGTTTCTAATAATAATAATAATAATAATAATAATAGGCTCCAGAGAAATGGGCAAAAATCTGTAGCATTGCAGGAGTCTTGGTGGTGATGCAAGTGTTTAAAGCTACAGACAAGGGGGTCACTGTGGCCCATTTTTGGTCTAAAATTATTTAGCCACTTGCTAAACATGCAAATAGGAGTAGATCAATAGGTTCGAAAACATGCAAACAGTTCAAAAACATGCAAATAGGAGTATATCAATAGGTTCGGCGGTCCATGCAGTCATGCCAGCCACATGACCTTGGAGGTGTCTATGGACAACGCTGGCTCTTCGGCTTAGAAATGGAGATGAGCACCAGCCCTCAGAGTCGGACATGACTGGACTTAATGTCAGGGGAAAACTGTTACCTCTAACATAAATGTGGTATATTCCAAGTTGATGGCATTTGGCAGTCCTTTGTTGTCGTGTTTCTGGAGTGGGCTTGTGTGTCAAAGTCCTGCCCTAAGGGAACCACTAGGAAAGCTTGAACCCATTGAGGTTCTCTTTCCTCCTTCCTTCCTTCCTTCCTTCCTTCCTTCCTTCCTTCCTTCCTTCCTTCCTTCCTTCCTTCCTTCCTTCCTCTCTGTGGCATAAGGGTATGATTCACGCTGATATTCTGATATTCGGCTGTTGCTCGCAACACAAAGCCGGCCAAAAGAGAAGGCGGGTGGGCCTCTGCTTGGTGCCAAACCCTGCCACACAAAGCCGAGCGCCCTCCTTGCCATTTGCGAGCATTCCGCCATCCCAAAGGTCTCTTGAATCTCCCATAATCTCCAGAGTGCCATTCCATTTATGTTAATGGGCCCTTTAATTTATCACAATAATGGCCTCTGATGAAGATGGATTAATTTGGATTATGGAGGCCAGCACTTTGTCAAAGGCAGATAATTATACACCCAGAACCTCATCTGCACGTCGTTTCCAATCCACACGCGCGGAGGAGTGCAAGAAGGGGATGGCGTCCCTGCTCCTACGATGGGAGGGGGGCAGGAAGCATGCCGATTCTTGCGTTCTTCGTCATAGAATTCAGTGGCAGTATTTGCTCAAACATTCACTCAAACATTTGTATTCATCTTAATGTCATGGCAGAGCCCCTGGTGGTGCAGTGGGTTAAACCGCTGAGCTGCTGAACTTGCTGACCGAAAGGTCACAGGTTTGAATCCGGCTTCTGCTGTTAGCCCCAGCTTTTGCCAACCTAGCAGTTTGAAAACTTGCACATGTGAGTAGATCAATAGGTCACATGACCCAGGAGGTGACAACGTAGACGCATCAGCTTGGAAATGGAGAGCAGCACCTCCCCTAGAGCCAGAGATGAGCACCACCTCCAAAGCCGGAAATGAAAGGAGAAGCCTTTGCCTTTCTATTTGTGTGTCTCATTGTGTAGCAACAAGGCATTGAATGTTTGCCAATAGGTACTGTTCCGGCGAAAAGATAAACATTGCTCCGTGCAGTCATGCGGCCACATGACATTGGAGGTATCTATGGACAACGCCGGCTCTTTGACTTAGAAATGGAGATGAGCACCAACCCCCAGAGTTGGACATGACTGGACTTAATGTCAGGGTAAAACCTTTATTTTTACCTAATGTCATGGCAATCTGATAAGAATTCTGCATGACTAGTGGTTTGAGTCTTGCACCATGACTCTGAAAAACAGGGTTTGAATCCCCCTTTGGCCGTGGAAACCCATTAGGGAAGTCATGTACTCTTAGCCTCAGAAAACCCCATCACAGACTTGCCCTGGAGTCTCCAAAAGTTGGAACTGCTTTGGCCGAGTGTGGAATCAGACTTGAGTCTCCAGAGTTGCGATCCAATGCTTGAGCCACTACTCCACACTGGCTATCATTACAAGAAAAACAACCCAATGATGACCACATTTAGCAACCATAAAGGCAAAATTCCTCCAAATGTCTCCTCTCCAATTCATTGGTGAAGGTAAAGGATTCTCCCTGACATTAAGTCTAGTCGAGTCTGACTCTGTGGGGTGGTGCTCATCTCTAGTTTTAAGCTGAAGAGCCGCCGTTGTCCATAGACACCTCCAAGGTCATTTGGCCAGCATGACTACATGGAATGCCGTTACCTTCCCACCTATTGATCTAGTCACATTTGCACTGCTAGGTTGGTAGAACCTGGGGCTAACAGAGGGAGCTCACTCAGTCTGCAGATTCGAACCACCGATCTTCCGGTTAGCAAGTTCAGCGGCTTAGCAGTTTAACCCACTGCTCCACCGTGGCCCTTAATTCATTGGGTTGGATAATTTTTTTGTTTCTAGTACAAGGACCCCTTCCTGGGGGTCACGGCTGCCACCCATTTGCAATGTTAATGGGGAACCATATCAGGAGCCCTATGACCAGGTACCAGAATTCAGCAATGCCAACCCTAGGGAGAGCAGTGCAGCTCCTTTGGGTATTTAAGGGGAAAGGGTTAGTTAGTTAGTTCTGGAAAATAACTTTCCAGGCTGGGGTAGTACACAAGTACACGCGCATGTTTCCTGAGGGAGAAAAACAACAGAGGAAGGGAGGGAAAGGGAATGAACAGTATAAGTTAGTGAAAGAAAAATCACCATTGGGTGAGAGACGTATGTGATCTCTGATAACACCTCTTCTTTGTACCTGTGCCAGATCCCACTATGTCCCGACCCGGCGACTCGGACATGGCGTCGGCCAGCCGCTCCCGAAGGCCCTCGTCGGTTTGCTCCATGGAGGACAAGTGCCGGAGCCCAAAGCTTTCGGGCCAGCTCCCACAGACTTCCAGGAGGGTCACGCTCCGGTCGAAGGCACCTTCAGGAGAAACAAAGAAGAACCGCTGAAGCAGAGCTCATTTCTTTCACCTTTACCATAACCATCTGCATATCAGGAGATGCCAAAGAGTTAGCAATTTGCAGTCAATGAACTCAGCAAAAAGGTAACATGCCCTTTCAAGTAAAATGTCCTGGGGTCTTTCTCCTCCTCCCACTTTCCCTCTTTCCCCTGAGCTTGCTGCAAATTGAGTTCTAGTGCACAACTAGGCTTATGTAAAAACAAATTCTTGCAACTTCTCCTAGCAGTTTCCTTCTCACTTAGAATGTTTGCCTTGGGTTGCGGTGAGTTTTCTGGGCTGTCTGGCTATGTTTCCAGAAGCATTCTCTCCTGATGTTTCACCTGCATCTATGACAGACATCCTCAGAGGTTGTGAGGTCTGTTGGAAACTAGGCAAGTGGGGTTTATATATATCTGTGGAATGTCCAGGGTGGGAGAAAGAATTGTTGTCTGTTTGAGGCAGGTGTGAATGTTGCATTTGGCCACCTTGATAACCAGTTGCAAAGTCAATCAGGGAAGGTGTCTGCATAGAGGTAGCCTGGCCTTTGTTGCCTGGAGGCACCCTTTGTGGAATAATGTCCAGGGTGGGAGGAAGAAAGACCTTTTGTCTGTTTGAGGCTGGTGTGAATGCTACCATTGGCCACCTTGCTACTATTGGCCAAATGTCAACGTCTATTTTCCCCAAACTCCACCAGTTTTCACATTTGGTTCTATTGAGTATTTGTGCCAAGTTTGGTACAGACCCATCATTGTTTGAGTCCGCAGTGCTCTCTGGATGTAGATGAACTACAACTCCAAAACTCAAGGTCAATACCCACCAAAACCTTCCAGTATTTTCTGTTGATCGTGGGATTTCTGTGTGCCAAGTTTGGTTCAATTCCATTGTTGGTGAAGTTCAGAATGCTCTTTGATTGTAGATGAACTATAAATCCCAGCAACTACAACTCCCAAATGACAAAATCAACCCCCCCCCCCAACAAGTATTCAAATTTGGGCATGTCGGGTATTTGTGCCAAATTTGGTCCAGTTAATCAAAACACATCCTGCATATCGGATATTTACATTACAATTCATAACAATAGCAAAATGACAGTTATGAAGTAGCAACGAAAATAATGTTATTTTTTCACAACCTCTGAGGATGCTTGCCATAGATGCAGGTGAAACGTCAGGAGAGAATGCTTCTAGAAAATGGCCATATAGCCCGAAAAACCTACAACAACCCAATAAGGTTATGGTTGGGGGTCACCACAACATGAGGAACTGTATAAAGGGGTCGCGGCATTAGGAAAGTTGAGAAACACTGGTGTATATGAAGGCCAAGATGAAACAACGGAGCAAAAACCGACACACTCTGCTACTTAAAAATAATTCCGCTACGGCGCAGTTGTTTCCTGGTTTCAAAAAAATAGGACATGACGTTTTGACTAAATGCAAAGATTAGATTGAGCCCCCCCTTCAGATCACTTCAAAGTACAAATTAAAATTATTTGAGTCTATTATGCAGCAGGTCTGTTGCGAGGGCTTACTTTTAAATCACCGCCCGCCCGGAATGAGATTACCAAGCCCGGCCTTTGACGCTGGGATGGCATGCCGTTTCACTCAACAATTAGGTAACTGAATATGGGGCGTTTAGTGGGTCTGGCTTTTGCCAGCCTGCCGAGGGAAGGTGGGGGGAGGAAGGGAAGGGGAGAAGAAGGCAAATGCCAGGGTGTGTGTGCGTATATGTGTATAATATATATATATATATATGCACACACACACCCTCCCCCATCTCAAAGTTAAAAGCACACAAAACACATCCTTGGTTATCAGGAGGTTGGCTCTCCTCTTTGATCAGCTGTCAGAAACTATCTGCGCTGGGCCCACGACTGTACAGCTTCACAGCTCACTCGGGGCCTCTGACAGGTAGTAATTGAAAGGGCGAGAGACCAGGCCCGGCGGCAGGCGTCCTTTCCTCTGATAACGCCCAACACACAAGACGATAAGGGCTGGTAAACACAGTGATCCCTGCATCGGCAAAGAGGAGAGATAGTGGCCGACTCTAATGGCTGACCAGGCTGAGCTGCTCAATCAGAAATGCGGGGTCGTGCCCATGGGGGTATTTCTGGTGTACTGGGGGGCAATGCGAAATGTTGACCACCGCTGGAGCAATACATTCCCCAAATAGCATTGCCAACCCATGCCCTTCAATTCTTCCAATCTGGCAGGGACTATCCAAATCAAGTCTACATAGGGACCCGCAAATGCAGTCACAACTCAAGGAACCAATTCTCTGTTCAGCAAAGGACAAGAGGGATGCTCTCACCTCTGCAGGACTCTCCCGTATACCATGCAGCTGTGGACAAGTCTATATAGGGATCCCTAAATGCAGAAGCATTGCCCAGACACTAATCAAGGAACGTGAAAGGCACTGCAGACTCATCCAACCAGAGAAGTCAGCCACCTTATTTTATTTTTTTGGTTATTTAATGTTTAATGTTTATTCTACACTAGCTTGGGGACCCGGTGCTGCCCGGGTTATTTGAGAAAGGAATTGTGTCTCAAGGTTGGTCTTTATCAGTTATTTATATGGCTCGCAGTGGTCTCAGGAAGTTAGTGAAGGTACTGCGAATCCCATCATCTGTGGTCCATCCTCCTCCAAATTGTGTGCCAAGTTTGATTGGTCATTAGATGAGGGCTGCAGCAGTCTTGGGAAAGGAGTGGATGTACTTGAAGTCCCATCATCCATGGTCTGTCCTCCTCGAAAGTGCACCAGGATGTAGAGTGGGTCATGGAGACTCTGTGTGCCAAGTTTGGTCTTGATCAGTCATTGGCGAGGGTCTCAGTGGTCTCAGGAAGTGAGTGAAGTGACTGCAAGTCCCATCATCCATTGTCAAATTCTTCCAAACCGCACCAGGATGTAGAGTGGGTCATGCTGGGCTCTCTGTGTAAATTGTGGTCCTGATCCATCATTGTTGGCAGTTGTAATGGTCTTAGGAAGGGAGTGCAGGTATTGCAAATCCCATCGCCCATGGTGCATCCTCCTCCAAACTGCACCAGGAGGTAGAGTGCGTCATGGAGACTCAGTGTGCCAAGTTTGGTCTTTATCGGTAATTGGATGAGGGTTGCAGTGGTCTCAAGAATTGAGCAAAGGTACTGCAAGTCCCATAATCCATGGTCCATCCCTGGCCAAACCACACCAGGGCGTAAAGTGGGTCATGAGAGGTCTATGTGCCAAGTTTGGTCCTGATCAGTCATTGGATGAGGTTAACAGTGGTCTCAGAATGTGAGTGATGGTACTGCAAGTTCCATCATCCATGGTTCATCCTCCTCCAAACTGCAGTAGGATGTCGAGTGGGTCTTGCAGGCTCTGTGTGCCAAGTTTGGTCTGCATTGGTTTTTTTCTGACAAAGCCACATACAAACTTTGACTTTTATTATATAGATAGATAGATAAGTGATATTTGTCTTTACTGTTCTAATGTAACACAAATCCTATGTAAAATCATACTACGTATTTTTGACATTAATATTGAAATCTGAAATATATACAGACAGTATGTGGACCCAGCATATTATCAGAGAACACAGGAATGCTGGACCACTCTAACAACCACCATGTTGGATACACAGAGAAGCCTAAACACAAGCATAAACAGAAAGGCGGAAACAATGAAAATGAACAAAATCTGTCTACCAGTATTAAAAAAAACTCTAAAATCAGGACAGTAAAAAAAAGAGCAACACTCAGAAAACAGGGGAATTTCAGACAAAAAACAATAAGAGCCAGCTAATCACCTCCCAACAAAGGATTTCCCAAGGTAGAAAGCAACCAGGCTTTGAAGCTGCAATGCCATTAAAAGCTAATCAAGGTGGACAATTGCAACACTCAACCTCCATCAAACAGGCAAGAGTTCTTTCTCCCACCCTGGACATTATTCCATAGTGCTCCCTCACTTATTGCGGGGTTACGTTCCAGGACCTCCCGCAATAAGTGAAAAACCGCGATGTAGGGAACGTTATATTTATTTTAATATTTATACATTATTTTAGTAGTTGTACACTATTTTAAGTCTTCATAAACTTAAAATAAAGTGAAAGGAAGGAAGGAAAGGCCCTTCAAGGCTGGAGGGAGGACTGAGGAGGGAAAGCGCCTCAGAGAACGGCAGCGGCAAAAACCTGCGAAACAGTGAAAATTCAGCAATATATATTTTAAATTAATATTTTTGGAAAACCGCAAAACAGCGAGTCCGCTAAAAGTGAACTGCTAGGTAGCGAGGGAACACTGTATGTCTATATCTATATCTATATCTATATGGAGCCCCCGGTGGCACAGTGGGTCAAACCACTGAGCTGCTGAATTTGCTAACCAAAAGGTCACAGGTTCAAATCCAGGGAGCAGCATGAGCTCCCGCTGTTAGCCCCAGCTTCTGCCAACCTACCAGTTTGAAAACATGCACATGTGAGTAGATCAATAGGTACTGCTCCAGCGGGAAGTAACAGCGCACCATGTAGTCCACATGACCTTGGAGGTGTCTACCAACAATGCCGGTTCTTTGACTTAGAAATGGAGATGAGCATCAACCCCCAAAGTTGGACAAAGTTGTCAGGGGAATACCTATACCTTTTTACATATACACCCCACTTGTCTAGTTTCCAACAGACCTTACAACCTCTGAGGTTGCCTGACATAGATGTGGGTTAAACGTAAGGAGAGAATGCTTCTGGAATATGGCAATATAGCCCAGAAAACACATAACAAACCAGTGATTCCGGCCATGATAGCCTTTGACAACACAATTCCTTTGTTGTTTTGGACCTTAAGGTTGTTCTCCTAAGGCGACTTATCACTTCCCACTATGGCTGTTATCATTAATGCTCTACTATCCCACTTTCCCAGATGCTCTTAAAGGGTCCCAGCTTCTCTCCCAACCCCGACTTTCCCCCTTTGTTGCCAGCATACTTCAACTGCGGCAATCTGAGTTCAAATGGTAAAAAGAG